CTTGCATCAAATTCTTTATTGGTGAGCTTTCGGGGATAACGCCGTCATCAGACCTTCAAATTACAATACATTACTTCAAATACAATACAATACATTACTTCAAATTACAATACATTACCGGCCTACAGCTACAACATACATCAACATTAGCACTAAAACCTACCAAGGGTGGGAGGGGTGGAGGGGTGAACCTGCCGTTAGAGGAGCTACGTGACCTCCTAAGACTCATTGCGTGATAAATGTGACATTAGAGGACCCTAGTGTCTTAGAGCTGCTGAGCAGTTCCTTCCCCATTTATACCGCACGCGCCGCACCGGCAGGTTCACCCCTCCACCCCTCCCACCCTTGGTAGGTTTTAATGCTAATGTTGATGTATGTTGTAGCTGTAGGCCGGTAATGTATTGTAATTTGAAGGTCTGATGACGGCGTTATCGCCGAAAGCTCACCAATAAAGAATTTGATGCAAGAGCTTCGAAATCATCTATTCTACAATTATGAAGTTGTAAAGGAATGTAATAATGGTAAATGCTTGTGACGCGTTCCGCGGCAACGGAGTGGGCGGAGACTCACAATCACTGTGCGTTCCTTATCGCTGCTTCCCTTCACTTTACTGAACTAGGAGAAGGGAATTATTCCACGAGAAGGGGCACAATGGGTAAGTGTGCGCACCTCTCCGCCCATGGGCAAATTGTGTAGTGTTCCCCTGGGGTTTTTCAGCTATGATTTTTACGCACTTTCAGGTATATTCACGTCATTCGCTGGCTCCGGGGTGGACATATGTATTTTCTCCATCACCACTCTACTGTTTCGTGTTTCCGAAAAGACAGCCACGCCCACTACAGTTGTGATGATGGGTAAGGATCTCGCATAATGCGTCCATTGTGAGGTCTTTGAACTTCATCTCTAGGGTTGAATTCGATGGTAGGAATGTACTGTCGTGCAATTTGGTACGGAAATGTGTCCGAGCTTACATTCGAATATCTGAAGGTGACAATACCGGTAGCAGTGACCATGGCGCCTGTCGGAAGTTTTCTTGGTTCACATTTCCATCGACAGGTATTTATCTCAAGGAACTTCACATCTAAGCCATAAGAACTCTATCGAGTTCCGCATGGATTAAAGATCGTACCGCGTTGGTACTTTGCATTATTTACCCTTTACTGGCCCGACTCTTCAAAATTCAAGCCAGATTCTGGTCGAAACTCTGCTTCCGAAGAGATATGGCCAAAACTTTGTTAGGTAATTTGATCCCTCAAACACGGACCACATCCTTTTACAACCAAGTGCGTAGCGTCCACGCCACAAGTAGTTTCGATGCCAGTGCCCCGAGCGCACGTACCAGGTGTTTTCACGCTAAGACAGAGTAATGTCCGTGCTGAGAAGAGCGGAATACTTCTAGAGACAAAAAATTTCAGCAATTATGATAATTCAAGACGTTTCGGCGCCCGCGCCATGCGTTTTTGACCCAAATGCACAGGATATTTATGTTAATGGGATCAAACTGCCTCAGAGGAAAAATTACCGGGAGCTTCACTCATGGATAAAAAATTTGATCGAAACTCGATCGGCATTTCAAAGAGTGGGCCACTAAAGGGCAAATAGAGCTGGAAATTCGGAGAAACGTTTTATTCTGTCGCATTCGTCGTGGGCGGCGTATCGTGCGGCGGCGATCCGCGACAAATACTTGGCTTGTCGATTGGTGCTACGAAATTCATATGATTTTAACAGAAATTCAAATGAGACAGTGAGACCCCATGATCAGCGATACCGGATTTTCCCGTGTCTTTAAAACACAGCTCCAAACGGTCAGTCAGCACAACTCGTCCACCAATCCCACTAGCATCTTACGATTCTTCAGCCTTTTCGAGTAGATGTTGAAGGAGCGAAAGAAATACTGTTTAGGTGCTTGCATGCTTTGTGTATATCTTGGAGATCCTGTCACTAGTGGGATTTCTGATCACAGGTCCGCCTGTGGCCCTCGGTAAGTTACTTTTGACCATTTCAAAGTGGACCCCTTATGTTACAGTAACCAAAAACCAATTTTCTCTATTTAAGTGCTTTTCGGTGCTGGGATTATCGTGGTCTCGTTCGTTTTCTTCTTCATTATAAGTAAATTCGGAGAAATGCTTATGAATGCCAAGGAGACACGAACGGATCATGCGGCCTAATGCGGGTTATAATACTTTCGTGGATCTAAAAGACAGTATCACTGGTGGAACTACAAGTAATCTAGTCATGTAAAATGTCTGTAAAATTCCGTGTTCACTGTAACGTAAGTATGACTACGCCTATTATCATTGTCTGTACTGTATTACTTTGAGTACATTGAGCTCACTAATGAAATGAATATTAATGAGCTTGCAAGTTTCTATACATCACGTTGATTCAGGTCGATATCGTTTCCAAGAAGAAGTATGTGAAAAGGTGTTGCCATGTGTCACGCGCGCAGCGTTCGTACCAAGACCCAATCAAATCAGAGCAGCAACGTATGCCGCATGAACATTTGAAGAGATAAGATGGTTTCAAATGGCTCGTAGAAGTGGACTATATCGTCGATGGTGTGCACTCACTGCACCCGAAGTACTTGGGATACCGCGAACATGTATTGTGCGAACGCAGTTTGCAACCAAGAAATCTTTGTGGCGTTGATGTTTTGCAATCACGGAAAAAAAGACGTGTGATGTTTACGAAAAAATTTCGAGCACTTCAAAACGAATTCGGGGGAAGAAATGCCTCGACGTATAGCGCTTGAGTCTGCAAAGCAGCAATTCGTGCTGACAAACTTGTCCTCTCCAACGCGTCATTTTATGCGGCGCAGGAGGCACGTCTGGGATCGAAGAAGGGACGCACTAGGACATTGAAAGTACATCCAAAGCCCGGAAGGAGATGGACGCATTGTGAAGTTGTGCGAAACGTTGAAAGGTCGCATCAACTTTCTCGCAGGCGCTTCGCCATTGTGGGGGTAAATATTCTAGTTCTCATAGGAATGGTCTTTCTCCCTCAAGGGTTGTTGCGGAGAAGGCGCTGCGAAATCCTCCAGTACACAGCCACAGCAGTTACGCCGACCGCCAGACGTTCTCGGTTTATTTAATATCTGGATTACGGACCATTTAAAGGTCTATGGTGCAGGTGGGGATTTGAGGAGTTGAGAACAACCAGCTCATGGTTAGTTGAAGTCTTCCACAGGTGTACGGAAGTTTTCAGGTGCCGGTATGCCTTCGAATATGCCGAGTGAACAAAAATTCTTCAGGCGAGTGCGGTGCCATCGGTCGGCCATCCGCCTTGGACGTTTTGATAGATATTTCGAAGAAGCTCAAATATGAGGCTCAGGCTACACTCTTGGATAAATAACATAGCAGTAATACAGATCCGAAAAAGAGTAGAATAAATGGGTCTGCAGAAACATCTTCATGCAGCGAAGAAGGGCATTCACGTAAACAACCACTGGAAGAAAGGAAAAGCAAACGCCGAAAAAGCGGTATTGCACTGGTGAAGCATTCAAGTGTCCTGCGGCTGCCTGCTATTATCAAGGTACTCAATAACATGAAGCGAACACATAACGAAGACGAATGGGACGCTTTGTAAATCATCGTGAGTGTGTACTGTCCAGAATCGGGATTGATCAAGACCGGAGCCATCCAAGAGAACGTGCCGGAAATAAAGCCATTGAAAGGCGTTTGAGGTCGACACAGAGCCACTACTATTGGATGTTTGAAAGTAGAAATATGCTATGACGTTATGAAATGAAACCAACCTGCTCATACCAAACTTGGGAG